GAGGGTCAACACCGGCACCATGGCTGATGTGCCAGCTGCGAAACCTGCATTTTCTTCCAGCTGCTTCTGGTTCTCCCCAGCCTCAGGTCCAACTCCCAGACTGTGGCCCACAATGGGAGTGGTGGTTTCATTGAGGTTGGTGAGCTCTTTGTCCAAGGATGGTGCTGCTGGTAGAAGGGTGGGGTGCAGGGAGGATGGCAGGTATGTCCGGCCCATGTCTGAAGGATCAGGAATTCCTGTGGGCTCAGGAATCTGGGTGCTGGGGGGAGGTAAATGCTCCCGACTCTTTGAATTAGCGCTTCCACATTCTGGAGAGGAAAGAAGTGAGGAATCAGGGCTTTCAGGAGAAAAGGTGAAGAAGCAGATAAAGGTGTAGGGGCGAAAAAGTAATATCTTTTCCTCACCCATCACAAGGGTCATGGCTGACACCCTGATAACAAAAAAAAAAAAAAAAACATTAACAAGAGAAAAAGCATGGGCCGGCCCATGGCTCACTTGGGAGAGTGCAGGGCTGATAATACCAAGGCCACGGGTTCGGATCCCATATAGGGATGGCTGGTTATTTCACTGGGTGAGTGTGGTGCTGACAACACCGAGTCAAGGGTTAAGATCCCCTTACCAGTCATCTTTAAAAAAAAAAAAAAGAGAGAGAAAAGCATAACGAATTTATTTAATCAAAGTCTTATGTGACACAGGAGCCTTCAGAAATGAAGACTCAAAGACCCAGGGAAAATGGGGTATTTTTATGCTTAGGTTCAATAAAGATTGGATAATTGTGTAGTATTATTGAACAAAAAGGGTATGTTCTAATGCTAATAAGCTGGGGGGGGGGTGGAGAGAGGGCAGTAATGCATATTCAGATTCTTCTTGGCCTCCAGGTATAAGGCAGGACCCCTCTGAAGTGAGGGTCTTATGACCTACTTTAAGAGAGAAAAGCATAACGAATTTATTTAATCAAAGTCTTATGTGACACAGGAGCCTTCAGAAATGAAGACTCAAAGACCCAGGGAAAATGGGGTATTTTTATGCTTAGGTTCAATAAAGATTGGATAATTGTGTAGTATTATTGAACAAAAAGGGTATGTTCTAATGCTAATAAGCTGGGGGGGGGGTGGAGAGAGGGCAGTAATGCATATTCAGATTCTTCTTGGCCTCCAGGTATAAGGCAGGACCCCTCTGAAGTGAGGGTCTTATGACCTACTTTAAGGTGAGGTGGGTCAGAAAATTCCTTTATGGCCAGCTGTCACACAGAAAGGTAGAAGAAGATCAGGAGAAGGTCTTGCTTCTGCAGTTTTCTCAATTGCCAAGATACCATATTTGGGGGTATCATGTTCTGAGCCCCAACAGAAGGAAGGGGAGTGGGTCAGAAAGAACATCAAAGGGACAGCTGAAGGCCAGGAGAGGAAGGCAGTGGCAAAGGGGAATGGTGAGGGACAAGGAAGTGAGCAAACCACAAGATGCAACCACTGGGACAAGCAGGTGCTGGAAAGTGGGAAGTCAAGAGACCTGGGTTGGAACCCTGGCTCTGCTACAAAGTGGCTGTGTGACCTTGCCCCTTGACTCCAACCTCTCCGGGACTCATTTCTTTCAGCTGTAAAGTGAAGCCAAGGTATCTGGGAGAATTAAATGAAATAAGGTAGGGTGAAATAGTCTGAAGGGCAGTATGGTACCACCAATGCTACACCAGACAACTTTAGCTAGGATATGGAAGAACACTTTGTATTTTAATGGTTGTATTTATTTTAGAAGAAAAATACAACCAGTGCGTCAAGTTTGTGACTTCACAGATGTTATTACATGGGGCAAGTTGCTATTTAAGTTTTTCAGAACTGGTTTATGTAGACAAGATTTATTCATTTAGGATTGGCTCGTTAGCTAAGTTGGTTAGAGCACAGTTTTATAACAAGTCAAAGGTTTGGATTCCTGTAGTGGCCAGCCACCAAAACAAACAAAACGAAGATTTATTCATTTCATTGTATTTAAGTTTTACCTCAAAAATTTTTTAAGAGCAATAAAATATGGAATTCTATTTAATACACATGCTGAAATGTTTTGAGATGAAGTATAATGATGCCTGCTACTTATTTTTAAATACATCAAAAAATAAGGTGGATTTATGATGGCTAGATGGATGGATAGATAGATGGATGTATAATAAAGAAAATATAGTAAAATACTATAAAATCTATGTTTTAAAATATGTTTGCTATATTATGTAAATATTATGTAAATATGTAAAATGTAAATATGAAGGTATTTCAAAAAGTTCATGGAAGAATAGAATTAAAAGCTAATAGGAATTCTTCCATGAACCTTTTGAAGTACCCTAATATATATAAATTAAATATTGTAGAATCTAGGTGGTTCATTGTACAATTCTTTCAACTTTTGTATATGTCTAAATTTTCATAATAAAATAGTGGAAAATAAAAATAGTGCCTTGATTTCAAGAAAAATATTAAGAAAATAATACTTGTAGTACACGTGATACAATCAATCAGTAAACATCATGAAGGTGATGGTGAGTGATGTTTGCTTTGGTACAGGGACTTCAGTGACAGTACCAGAAGGTTCTAGGAATGTGAGGTGTCAGAAGGAAAACGGCCGAGGCAAAGAAAATTGTATGGTGGAGGCCACTGAGGCAGAGCCTGGGGAATAGGGGGCAAACTCTCACCTTTGCCATCAAAGCAGCCAATCAATTTGCGAACCCACCGGTCTTCAGGGCCCCCACACACACTCCGGAGAGGTAGTTGGAACCTGCAAAGGAAGAACCTGGTCTCAGCTGCGGCTCCTCCTTTTCCTTCCCCAGCTCTTTCCTCATTCCAGGGGACTGTAGTCATCCCCAGAAAGAGCTTTCTGCTAGGACTGCACTGGGAAATCCCCAGGTAGGTGGGACAGAGAAATGAAGATGAAGAGAACTGGGGCAAACAGAACCCGAAGAGGGGGTTAGGTCCCTACAGAACAAACTCAGGTTTGACCAGACGGGGTCCTGGAGGCACCTGGTAGGGAGGGACTGTGCAGGCGCCGCCGTCCCAGGGGCAGACGAGAAAATTACCTGATGTAGCGTGGACAGCGATGGTAGGCTTTTAGGTGTTTTTGGAGATGATCCATGATTTGAGCCGATGGGGGGGAGTCAGAAGAAAATATCCTGTCACAGGGACAACTTCCGGTGATGCTGCCCTCGTTCCCATCGCCTGAGCGGGATAGAGGTGGTCGGCACAGTTCCCCAGGCCCAGGGTCTCCCCGCCCCAGCCCCCGGCCCCCGCTGTTACTTAGCGTCCAACCCGCTGCTCATTGCAGCCTCTCCCCTAGACCCCGGGGTCCGACCCCCAGGCTCAACCCACACATCAAAAACCCCCAAACGTCCATAATTCCCCCAGGACCCAGATGTCCCTCAGCCTGTCCCCAGCCCCGCTGGCCTTCCCCTTTTCTCCGCCGCCTTGGGAACCCTGGCAGCACCCGGCTACGCACTTCATCCCAACTCAACTCCGCGGCCCTAGTGTCCCCTCCCCCTACTCGTTCCCTCCCCGGGGCTCGGGGATCTGAACCCCCGGCCCCGCCGCTGACTAACCTGGCGGAGGCAGCAGCGCCAGCAGGAGGAGTAGGAGCGCGCGGGCCCCGGCTCCCCAGACCCGCCTCATCTCGGGGCTCGGCGGAGTTTGGGGGGATGGAGCCGCCTCGCCCTGACTCCCAGACGGGCTCCGCGGTGTGACGTCCAGTCGGTGTCTCAGCGGCTGTCGCTTCCCCCGCCCGCCTGCCGGCGACTCTGGAGGAGACGGCGGCCGTCGGCGCTGAGTCCCGGCTGGGCAAGCACGGCAGGCGGCGGCGCCCTCCCGCCCTCCCGCGCTCGAGCTCGCGCCGTGGCGAACGGCCCGTGCGGTCGGG